ATAAAATATGATATAAATAGTTTTAATTTTATAACTTATAATTATTTTTATTATTTAAAAATATTTAGATCTAAAGTAAAAATACAGAACAGAAAGAATATATTTATAATAAAAGAAATGAATATAAAATATAAATAAATTAATATAAATTTCTAATTTAAATTATATATGTATTAAACATAATTAATTAATTTAATTTATATCTTCAGAATAAAGATAACTCTTCAACTATTGTAATATAATAATAAATAAAGCATCATTTAGTTGTAATTAGTTACAACTTATAAAATTTTAGAGTTGTAATATATCATAATAGGTAATAAATAAGTATTATATACTTGCTATATCATCTTTACTCCAGAAAGTAACTAATCATAATTCAATAATTAATAATAAAATAAATAATAATACAAATAATAATAAGAAAGAACAAGTAAAAAGATAAAAGAATTATTAAAAAAAATCTAATTAAAAATATTAAAAAATATTAATTAACTAAATTAATAATATAGATATATCTAGTAATTATCTGTATAATAATATATTAAATCTAATGTATTAAATACATGAATAATTATTTGTATATCCAGAATGAAATTAATCTTTATAAAATATAATACAGAAGCTAATTTATTATATAAATAGTGCAAAATGAAGATCTGAGCTAAAGAGAGATAATTTAATCAAAATTATTATAATAAAAATCAAATAATTATAATTATAAAATATAAATATTATATAAAAAATAAATTTATTATATATTATTTATATATTATATAATATTGTGACTTTTTAATTAATAACTAAAATATAATATAATTAAAAAAATATATTTAAATTTTTTTTATTCTTCAAAATAAATATATTATAAAATAAGAAAAAATTAGTTTTTTAATAGTTTTTTATATTAATAAAATAATATAAATATTTCTTGATATAATAAAATTTAATTAACTATTTATAATAAATAAATTTATAAAAAAATTATTTATAATAAATAAATTAACAAAAAATTATTATTTTATTACTTTTTAAAGATATTTATTAATAATAAAAATATAAATATATTACTATTTATTATTTAATTTATATTATAAAATAATAATTTAATATTAAAAATAAATAAATTCTATTTAAATAAAGAATATTATAGAATTTACATAGAATTATGAAAATTAGAATATTGAAAATTGATTAAAAATTATATAATTTAACAGTATAAGTTTAAATATTTAGTTTATATAAAAAGTAATATTATTAAAAATATCTGAAAAAGATATTAATTTATACTGAGTCTATAATAAAATTTAAAGATAAATCAATAATAATTGAAATTACTTTATATTTCAGAATATATATAACTTTTATAAAATTATCAATATTATAATTATAATTATATATTATAAATACTTTATAAGAATTTTATGAATATAATTAAAGATTATAAATTTATTATTAAAGATATTATTTACTAAGATAAGTATTTTATAAATAATACTTGAGTTTATAAATTTATTATCAAAGATATTATTTTCTAATAAGATATGAATTTTAAATATATAGTAATTTTAATAAAATAATTATTTTAGAATAATTAAGTTTAAGTTTTAAATCAATTACTATAATCTTCTGATTTAAACTTTATCAAGTATTTACAAAATGAAAGTGATTGTTATTTTCAGTATCTTTCTAGATAAATTTCAGATAAGAAATACTTGCGAAACAAGATATAATAGATTTGATAAAAAATCAATATTAAATTTATATCAATTTGATTTACTTAATATCAGAAAGAATCTTTAATATAATATATAATTATATGAGATAACTATATGAAATAATAGAATAGGCGAATTCTATCTAATATATATGTTTAAATAAAAAATTTATAGTTATATTTAAAATATATAAAAAAGAAATAAAGTAATATAGCAGTACTTAACTGAATAAATATGCAATCTATAAGATAATTATTCTACAAATTCATATTTAGTTTTGATAATACTATTTATATGCAAAACCTATTAATAAAAAAAGAATATTTTTAAATTTTTATAAAATTTTTAAATGCAATGAATATTTTTTTGCTATATTAATTATAATCATCACTATATAATATTCTTTGTACTCATTTTATTATAATTAATTTGACTATTTTACTATGTAAGCTAATTTTTTATTAATATAACAATCTTTTATATAGTAATAATAATTTTTTATATAATAAATAAAATTGTTATGTTATCAAATTCTATTATATAATAAAAATTTATGGTACAGTGCCCTAGCAAAATATTGCGAACACTTTTAAATTTAAATAACAAGCTAAATAAGCATAATATTAAAACAAAAATAAAAATTTTGAATCCTTGTAAAGTATAGCTTTCAAACAAAAAGAAATTTCATGAAGTAGTTTTGAGAAAACTTTAAAAAATTTATGATTTTTTCATAAATACAAAAATCATAAGGAAATTATGATATAAAATACATATGCAACATCTTAATACCCAGCGAATGAAATTACACAATTTGACTAGACAAATCGAATGGGGTATTTTTATGCGATTCCGATCACTGGGTATCGAGATATCACATATTTTTCTTTCGTTTTGATACTTTATTAATGATTTTCGTATTAATGAAAAAATTATAGATTTTTAAATTTAAGTTATCGCAAAAACTACTGCATGGGATTTCTTTTTTCTTTTTTGTTTGAAAGCTATACTTTTCAAGAATTTAAATTTTTTATTTTTGTTTTAATATTTTGCTTCTTTAGCTTGATATTTAAATTTTAAAAATGGCAACAATATTCGCTAGGGCACTGTATTTAAACGTAATTATTGTTTTTGTTTTACATTGTAAAGGCATAATGAATAAGAAAAAAAATTACTAAATAAGAATGTTTTTATATAAATAAAAGACGAAAACAATGGTATAGTAGGAACAAAAGAAAAAACAAAATAAAGTAAAAATTATAAAATTTATCGTAGGTCAGCGAATATGAGCGATTCATAGAAGCTACAAAATTAACTAATAGCATTCATTGTTACAAGTGGCATTGATTGCTGCAATAAGATATAAGATACTACAGTCTCTAGATCAGGACTAAGAAATAAATATATACATATGCTAAAAAATTTAGTACAAAATTTCTACCAATTTAATCCTGTAACCAAATCTATTAATTAAAAATTAAATATTAGTGTTAACCGAAAGAATATCAGATTTCATCGTTTTGATGAAATTTAAAATAGAATATGAGAGCACGATTTCAATTCTAAACAAACAGAATTTAATCTTTAGATATTCAAGTTATATCCTTAATCTGATGTAAATAAACATAAAAAAAAGCTAACAATCAAGCTTAAATCTACAACTGTAACATAGACCTTTCTACATTTGCATCCGCACAGAATCTTTTCGCGATAATACAAAAGACTGTCTTGGGGAATGGTCGAAAATTCTGATTACTATTTTGTCAACTGAATTCGCTATATTCTATGCAAAAAAAGATCGTAACGTGTAAAAAAGAATATTCTTTATCGATATTAACTTTCAATTGTAGGAGCACGTCGATAAAAATTTATGACATATGATAAATCTTTTATGAATGACGCATTAAAATTTATTTCGGAGAACTTGTGGATATTTTACTAATTTACTATTAATATTTGTGATAAAGCAATATGTGTTCTAAGGGTAATAATAAAATGCTAATAAAAAATTCCGTTACACTGAATAATAGCATTAGTTTTCGTTCGCTTTATTTAAAAGAATAGATTTCAAAGTCAATTAATATTTGGTACTGTGCATTTGAATGCGTCAAATGAGAAGGAAATTTTTTTATTAACAAAATTAGCATCCTATACTGTACATGAAAGCGGATACACTTTCAAAGTTTATTGAATCCATTGAATCGGAAAAACTTAGGTTTTTGTTATCCAATTAGAAACGCGGTGCAATTATTTACTGATTCGATTATGTTGAAACCATTTTCATTGCATTGCATCCATTCATTTATCGAGAAATATTCATAGTTTCTATAATTAATTAAAAATTGCATCATGCATTTACACACAAATTGAAACGATCTACATGTATTGGAAACAACAATTCATATATGGGAACATGACATGTTGAATTTCTCGCTAACGCTAATAAATGTAACCTACCACCATAAATCAAGTAGTACCCAATTCAATTATTTTCCACGACATCATTAGAGTTTACGCACAAGTTAGTAGAATTTCCAATGATTGGTGCCATTATGTCGCTCACGTATGTTTGTAACGCGTCAACAAACAGGGTATTATTACTTTTGGTATAATCGATCCAAGGTTTTGAAATATTTTGATAAGGGTCGCTGCATAAAAGTTCTTTTGGTAGAGTGGTGTAAATTTGATCTCCTGTAAATGGACCATAAATTACTTGAGCATCCGGTGGCACGAAATTCACTATAGCTTTAGTAAATTGGCCGTCCGATAATTGGAAAACGTAGTCTGCTGCATCTGTTTCTACTTCAATTACATAATATCCTATTTTATTACGATCGAATGATGTTGACATTAGAAATGGCTTATCTCGTAAATTATTAATGCTTTTCTCGTAAATTATTAATGCTTTCGTAACTTACCACCAGTAGAATTTTTAGCGCAAAGACTTTGATGCAATGGAATTATACTGTAAATCAACATCCAGAGATTACCAGCTGACTCAGTTATATCGGCTGCTACTTCATAAATGGGTGAATCATCATTATCGTCTGTGCCAACTTCTGTTACATCTGTTGAAGGTGCAGTATCATTATCAGGATTCATCAGATTTTCCACAAATTGTGTTAATTCATCTTTACAGTCAGTTTGTATTTTCGTATTTAGATCTTGGATTATTTGAGTATCACATTCACTTTGACACGTTGAGTCCAGATCCGAAATTAATAACCTATATGCTCTTTCGGTATTGACATCATAAAGTGCGAAACAATCTTTCAAGGAAGAGTCAGAATGATGCTTTATGTTGTGAACTGTTTGTTGACAAACGGAACATTCGTTGGTTTTGAACAGTGATTCACAGGTGATCGAGCCACGTTTCTCTTTAATTGCTAAAGCGAATGTGGTGGTATTTAATACTACACCGAATATTAAAAGAGTGAATAATATTAACATAGAGATGTTTTTATTACTAGAATTCATTGTTTCAGAGTGTTGAATTTTACGTTGTCGTCGTTTACTGAAGGGAGAATAAAAAATGCGAGTCTATAATTTCTAGGAAAGGAATGCTGCCGACGATTTTTCTGAAACAAAAAAATTCGTTAATCTTTAAATAAAGAATGTGTATCGATATGGAACGGTCGGATATTAAGGAAAAGAAGAAATGGATGGGGGATGAGACGACGGAAAGAAAATGAGTGAGACTCGCCAATAAAGAATAGTATTTATAGTAAATCCCGTTACCATTAAAAATGAAATTGCAATTTGAAATTTTTTATGGCGCAGCTTTATTGCGCCTTAACCATTAAATATCCATATAAGGAAGGGAAATAAAAACGGTCTGAAATTTGAAAATGCACACACAGCATGAAATTTGAATTTCGATAATTCTTAATTGTACAAAAGTCACACTACATCGTAATTTTTAGAATATCGATAACGAACATGCATGCAATACATGTAGGTTTTTTGGGAAATTTGAAACACCTACATAATCAAAAATAGTAAATTCGAGTTTGATAATAAAAAGATATTCTTTGTCAAACAAAATGCGGAAGAAAACTAATATCGTATAATCATCAAAGATACGTTTCCAATGATTGATGAATGACTTAATTTATTATTATAATGAGAGCGCGTGTCAAACAGTAAATTAGATCCAAATCTCAAATCGTTAAAAGAAGTTACACTCGTTGGCAGACTTGATAAATTTTATCGATGCATTCGTTTGCAAATAGAATTTAATATCTGAACAATACGAATTAATGAATTTTTTTGCTCATTGCTGATTTACTGTAATTCGAATTCTTATCGATAACTTGATTATTTATCACATCTGTTTTAACAAAAAGCTCATTAAAGTAGTTATTAAATTTTTTTTATTAATTTCATTCAACTCTACTTTGCAATATGATTTTATAATTATATGCTTTGTCCCCTTATCTATATTTCAATCTTATCATTATATCTTTCAACAATAAATTTTTTGTTCAACTTGTGAAATGTTTTGATATACATGTATCCATCCCCTCTTGTAAAGTAATTTCCGGTTTATGCAGATATTTTTATGTTGCATATTTTATTTATAGATATATATTACTTAAAGTTTAAATAAACTACATGTACATAAAAGTTTCGCATAAATTTTAATCCATACATACATGTAAACACATACGCCGCCGCTACATGTACATGTATATAACGACAACGATTATCTCGTTTGCTTTCTATCATTTCAATCAATTCATCCATTTTATCCAGTGAACTCAAATACTCATCATTGTAATGAATGTACTGATTGTCAATGGAATAATGAGATGCAATGACTGTTTTTTATATCACAAACGAATTTACAACGATGAATTGTCTAGCGGAGACAAAGATGTCGACAATCTAATAAAAGAATGCAACAAAATTACTAACAATGATAATAAATCATTCAAATGAATTCCTTTTGAAACGTTGAATATCTTGCCAAAGGAGGTTTTGGGTCAATTTATAAAGCAACCTGGTTGGATGGATCCCATGATAAATGGGATCATAGAGAAAATAAATTTACACGACGGGGAAAAAGGAAAGTTGTGTTGAAAACATTACACAATTCAAAGCAAGTCACGCCAGAGTTTATAAGCGAGGTAAAAAAATGAACATTTTCTAAAGTGAAATTCACTATTGTTTCTAATACAATCAAATCTTTTCAAAAATAGATTCAGACTTCTCTTAAATGCTATATTGGTGGTTTTTATTATTACGGAATAACTAAAAGCTAGTTACAAATGAAAATTCGATAGTAATGACTTATGCGGAATGTGGTGATCTCCAACGAAAAATTTACTTGGGATTGAAAAATTATGTAGATCATCGAAAATTTGGAAAGAGTTCCAGAAAGAAATTTGTACATCGCAACTTTCACCCTGGAAATATGTTGATGAAAGATCATGTTAATATTGATATCATTGTTCCTCAAATTGCTGATTTTGGACTTTGTATATAGAAAAATCTAACCAAGAAATTTGTGGAGTACTTCCTTATATGTCCAGCGGTGCTACATGGAAAGCCATACACTGAAACAGCAGATATTTATAGCTTTGGAATAGCCATGTACGAAATTGTAACTAGTGAACGACCGTTTGGTAAGCAAAGTCATGATGCACAACTCGTATTTGACATTTATAAAGGAATACGACCTACGATACCAAATAATATTCCCGAATGGTGTAAATTCCGTAAATCAATATCTATATAATAAAATATTTGTTTGTATATGATAAAAGATTTGAAAAATTTACCAATGTTGAATATCTTGCAAAAGGCATTTATAAAGCATCACTATACCCTTACAAGTGGGATCATGAAGAAAATTAATTTAAACTATCTATCTAATGAAAATAAACGCGAAGTTGTAGTGAAATTACGTGATTCAAAGTAAATTATAAAAGAGGTAAAAAATTAAACCAATTTTTAACGTGTAAGCAAGAATTTTTTAATATAATTAAACTATTCAACAATAGGTTCGAACTGTTCTAAAGTACAGTGATGTTTACTTTGGAATAAGTTATTTAACAGATGAATACTGGATTATCCAGCTATTGATTTAATGTTCGCGAATATAGATTAGATGTTCGAAAATTTATTAATTCCAACTACGTAAGAATTAACTTGGGAAGAAAAATTAAGATATTTACTGTATATTATCTGTGCCCTAAAAAATTTACGAAAAAAAATTAATGGATAATGAATTTCACCTTGGAAATATATTATTGCAGATTAATGCTTTTATTGCCAATTTTGGACTTAGCGATCCAGCAGACATAAAAAATCAAGAAATTTACGGAATGCTTCCTTATGTAAGTCCAGAAATACTAAATGGAAAGCTATATACTAAAGCTACAGATATTTATAGCTCATGTACGCGATCGTTACTGGTAAACGACCATTTGGTGAACGAAGTCATGATAGTGATCTCGTATTAGATATCTATAAAGGAGTACGACTTTGGTACCAAATAATGTTCCCGAATGGTTCAAATATATCATTGAGAAATGTTGGGGGCCTCCTCCAAAAAACAGACCAACTGTTGATGAACTTGAAGACTTTATCTGGTCATTCAATGATGACAATAAAAATTATTTGAAACTGAACGTGTTGCATTTTCAGTACTACAGCTCTTTAAAATATCCTAAACAGATGAAGAATTCAAAGAGTATCTTAAACTAGCACGCCAGAAATGGAAAGAACTTAAGGAGATGAAATAAAAATACTTAAGGAGCGAGATGGAAAAAATTGATTCCTAATAAATGCAGTTTACACGAATCGAAGGTTTCTTACAAAATTAATTTTAATTCCAATAATTTCTTTTACTAAATACCAATCACATTAACATTTCATATTAATTAGATCGACTTCGTATGTTCGTTCCATACGAAGGTAAAATTACTTAATATTGCCATTAATATTAATGTAAATTTTTCATTGATTGAGCATCTTTACAAAATAGCTCTGGAAAATGAGGATATATCGAGCGGCTTGCAAGAAATCTTTCAGATAACTGACTAAACTTAACACGAACCCATAATTTCTTTGTCTTATATTACTACTCGTACTCTTGTAAAATTTTATGAATCATTGTTTCTCGATCGTGTAAATCACTATCCTTAAATTTTTCATTTGTACACACGTCAATTATGAATCTTGCAATAATTATTCACACCCAGTTTTATACTGTATTGCTATATGTTTCTGGTAGGCATCACGATATTGGATTGGGAGAGACTAACACTAATGAGAATTAGACTGTAAAGATTATTTTACAAAGGAACTAAGGTTTGTGCCAATATCGACGGATATTGCATAAACTAATGATAAAATTAACTAAGCTTATTATTCAAAGTAAAGATATTTCCAAACGGATAACACAATAAAAATTTCAATAATAGCGGAGTGCCCGAAAAAGATTTCCGGTTCATGTGATTTTTTAAGGAGTAAATTAAACAAAATCGCAGGATCAATGATTCAAAACAAAAACAAAACAAATGTCATGTGATTTTTTAATCAAACAAAAGTTGCAGGATCAATGATTCAAAACAAAAACAAAACAAATGTACATATATATGTAGGCGTAAGGTTTTCAAGGTTTCATTGTTCGCATTTCTTTTCTATAGGATGATTGCAAAAAAAATTTGAAAAACTTTTCATTGAAGAACATCCAAATGAAAGTTGAGAAGAAAGCTCACGGCAGAAATTATAACCATGAAGAGCTTGTAATTCCTATTCAGATAATACAGTAAGATGGGTAACCTACCCGTATGTTCTCACTCTACTTCATTATTTCATAATGAAATATCTGTTATTCCCATGAAGGAGGTGTCATGTTGATATTTAAAGAGAAAAAAAGTATAACGTATGTAGCTAAATTCTTTTTCTAATACATATATTAATTCAATAGATTTCTAAACCTATTATTCCTGTTAAATAGGCTGAAATTCAAAAGAACTGGGAGTTATGGCTAGAAGAGAAGAAAGCGGTATGTATGATCGGACTCATCCACTTTAATTTATAGACTAATATTTATTTCATGCTTCTCAGATTCTAATAAAGTGTTCAATACAAAACACAAATTTAGTTGCACAAAATAGGTTTAATACCCGCGTAAAAAACCAGATTAGACCTATTTTTTTAACTTAATCATATTCGAATGAGGTTTCTAAAAATCTTTATTACAAGGTACATTGCCAATAATATTAACAACAATGATGAAGAAAAAAAGATAAGGACTTTCTCTCTACCTATGAGTTTTACTTATAGTTAAACCAGACTGGAGTGATAAATATCAATTAGCTAAGGAAATAATATTTCTTTATTTTTACATAAAGAAAATTTAGAAGACAAAAGAGTTATTAAAGAAAAGAAGATGATATGTAAAATTGAACTCATTCACTTTAATCTATAGACTAATATTTATTTTTATGCTATCCAAAATACAA